GCTGCGCTGATCCGAAGCCAGGAGCCAGGAGTTTCCTCTGGGTCTCCCACGCGGCTGCAGGGGCCCAAGGACCTGGGCCATCCTCCACTGCTTTCCTAGGCCATAACAGAGAGCTAGATTGGAAGTAGAGCAGCTGGGTCTTGAACCGGCACCCACATGGGATGCCAGCGCTTCAGGCCAGGGCATTAACCTGCTGCGCCACAGTGCCAGCCCCTTGTTTTACTGTTTATGCCTCAGTTTTATCATCAGGAAACTGGAGAGAAATATAGTTCTATCTTCACTGACTTTGTGAGAATTAAATAAGAGGTGTTTAGGTGTGTATGTAGAATAATGTCTATCACATAGTTTGCAGTAAGCATTTATTATTTGTTAGGATAAGACTTTTTTTAAAAAAATTTTTTTAATTTATTTTTTGACAGGCAGAGTTAGACAGAGAGAGACAGAGAGAAAGGTCTTTCCTCCGTTGGTTCACTCCCCTAATGGCCTCTACGGCTGGGCCTGCACCGATCCAAAGCCAGGAGCCAGGTACTTCCTCCTGGTCTTCCGTGCGGGCGGAGGGACCCAAGCACTTGGGCCATCCTCCACAGGCCACAGCAGAGAGCTGGACTGGAAGAGGAGCAGCCAGGACTAGTACTCAGCGCCCCAACCGGGACTAGAACCTGGGGTGCTGGCGCTGCAGGTGTAGGATTAGCCTAGTGAGCCGTGGCGCCGGCCAGAATAAGACTTACAAATGGTGAAATGTGGGATTTTGGGAGAGTCTGGCTTTAACTAAGGGCTACTTCTATTTCCACTGACTGTCTCTTCCCTGCCTGTCTCCCCTTTCTGTTTTGCAACAGGGTAACAAAAAGGGCCCCTTAGGCCGCTGGGACTTTGATACACAGGAGGAATACAGCGAGTATATGAACAACAAGGAAGCTCTGCCCAAGTGAGTTGTTAGAGAACACGGGCAGGGAGTGATGAGGCCTATGGTGATTGGGTGAACTTGCCTACAAATCAAGTTAGAGGATGTCTGGATGATAAATTCTTCAGTAGGTTGTGTCCCTGCAGGGCCCTCTGGGAAACCTTGCTTCTGCTTTGCCAACCTCTCATGCCTGCTTCACTCAATGGCTCTTTTCAGGGCTGCGTTCCAGTATGGCATCAAGATGTCTGAGGGGCGGAAAACTCGGCGCTTCAAGGAAACCAATGACAAGGCAGAGCTTGACCGGCAGTGGAAGAAGATAAGTGCGGTGAGTGGGACTGTCCCTCAGGTGTGAGGCTTTCAGCTGAGAGGAGGCCCTGGCTTACAGGCCCAGAAATAGACAGGGAGAGCCATGCAAGTGACCGAGAGGTCAGTCTTGGGCCGTATCTGAATTTACTCTGGCTGTGTGACTCATTTATCACTCGTCTTTTTGCAGATCATTGAGAAGAGAAAGAAGATGGAGGCTGACGGGTGAGCAGCTTCCTCTGTGGGTCTGGTAAGAACTGCCTAGTGTGTGTATCTTATGCTGATCTGTTTCTCCTTTGATTGCAGGGTTGAAGTCAAAAGACCAAAGTACTAATCTCCAGTTCCAACTGGAGAATTTCCACAGGCTCCCCACTGCTTTCTTTCTATAATTCCCAGAAAGGTTGCAAGGTGTTTCTGTGAATGTATATAAAATTTTGTTGTATAATCATTGGTTCCATTAAAATTGGTTAACCTGTTGTCTTGTCTTTTCTGTGTTCATCCTCCCTTCTGGGTCCCTGGAATACCAATCCTCTGGTTGTGATTTTATGGTTAAGATGCCACTTAGGATGCCTTCCATTTCATATAAGGCTGCCTGGCTTCACGTCCTGGCCCTGCTCCCAATTCCAGGTTCCTGATGATGTACACCCTGGGAGGTACCAGATGGTGGCTCTGGTAGTTGGGCCCTTCCACCCACATAGGAGACTTTGATTGAGTTCCAGGCATCTGGCTTTCTGCTTCACCCAGCCCTGCCTGTTACAGACATTTGGAGAGTGAACCAACAGATGGAAGATCTCTTTCAAATTAAAAAAAAAAAAAAAAAGTTTTATTTATTTATTTGAAACAAAGTTACAGATAGGAAGGGAGAGATAGAAAGGGAGAGACCTCCTTCTGCTGGTTCACTCCCCAAATGACCGCAGTGGCCAGGGCTGGCTTTGGGAATGGCCGAAATCAGGAGTCAGAATCTTCATTTGGGTTTCCCACGTGGGAGCATCTTCTACTGCTTTCCTAGGTGCATTGTTAGGGAGCTGGATTAGAAGTGGAGCAGCAGGGACATGAGCTGGTAGGATGGTGACATTGCAGGTGCAGCTTAACTTCACTGTAACATGCTGGCCTTCAAATAAAAAATTAAAAAATTTTAAGAGATCTATTTATTTGAAAGGCAGAGTTACAGAGAGGCAGAGAGAGGGAGAGAGAGAGAGAAGTCTTTCATCTCCTGGTTCACTTCCCAAATGCCGGAGCTCGGCTGATCTGAAACCAGGAGCCAGGAGCGTCTCAGTCTCCCACATGGGTGCAGGGGCCCAAGGACGTGGGCCTTCCACTGCTTTCCCAGGCCATAGCAGGGAGCTGGATTGGAAGAGGAGCAGCTGGGATTTGAACTGGCACCCACATGGGATGCCAGCACTGCAGGCAGTGGCTTTACCCAGTATGCCACAGCACTGGCCCCCCAAATTTTTAAAAATTAAGAAGAAATCACATCTAGAAGGATGTGTCAGTTCTTTCTTGAGCTGTGCTGCTATATTCCTCGACAATAAGGATATTTACTGGCCAGTGTGCCCAGCAGGGAAGGAAAGAATGACCCTAACTGATGGGCAAGATGTGGACAGAGGAACCTAAATGATTAAACATGTTACTCAAGCCTGTCTGAGGGCCTGATACCTGACACCAGGACAAATTCCCTGCATATTGGAGTCTGCTTAACAGGCTGCTGGCCTGATCCCAAGGCAGTGCTGGACTGGCATCTGGGTGAGGGCATATGATGAAAATTATCACCTTTAGGGGGGTCGGTGCTGTGGTGTAATGGGTAAGGCCACCGCCTGTAGTGCCAGCATCCCATATGGGTGCCAGTTTGACTCCCGGCTGCTCCACTTGCGATCCAGCTCTCTGCTATGGCCTGGGAAAGCAGTAAAAGATGGCCCAAGTGCTTGGATCCCTGCACCCACATGAGAGACCCAGAAGAACTGGCTTTGGATTGGTGCAGCTCCGGCTGTTGTGGCCAACTGGGGAGTGAACCAGCAGATGGAAGACCTTTCTCTCTCTACCTTTGCCTCTAACTCTGCCTTTGAAATAAATCTTAAAAAAAAAAAAAATCACCATAGGAACAAAAACATTTTATGAGTTGATGCCCTCCTTGGAGCTAAAGTGATACTGAGTGCCAGTCACTGCCTCTGGCTGAAAGGATAATGGTGGGGAAGTGCTTTGGTGGAACTGGTGTAGTGTGGCCCTGCAAATATGGGAATCCCAATTGTAGGGCATTAGTTTTGGTGCCTCCATTTCATCAGAAAGTCTGCCCAGGTCCAGGGTGGGTTTCTGACATTTGAATCATCGTATCCTGCCCTTTTCTTTCTTTCTGCTCATTATCAGACCTTTCATCTTGAGCTCCTCAATTAGGAGTCACCACTTCTTCCTGGCTGGATGCCAAGCTGGTGCTACCTGTGCTAAACCCAAGACCTGTGAGCTCACCAGATCCAAGGAATGCTAGAAAATTACCTTAGTTGTTGCCCTGCCCCCCCCCCCCCCGGTATTTATTTATTTATTTATTTTGAAAGGCAGAGTTAGAGAGGGAGAGAGAGGTCTTCCATCTGCTGGTTCATTCCCCAAATGGCCGCAGACTGGTGTAAGCCAGGGCTAAGCCAAGAGCCAGGAGCTTTTTCCAGGTCTCCTTTGGGGGTGCAGAGGCCCAAGCACTTGGGCCATCTTAAGCGCTTTCCCAGGAGTATTAGCAGGGAGCTGGATCAGAAGTGGAGCACTTGGGACTAGAACCGGTGCCCATATGGGATAACAGCGCTGCAGGTGGTAGCTTACCCCCACAACGCTGGCCCTGCCCTGTTTTCACCTGGATAGGACAAGGCTTTTTGAGTAAGTCAGCTTTGTGCATGACCCGTGAGGCTGACATTACACTGATGCAACAGCACCGAAAACGGTTAATTTCAGACAACACCCAGATTCCATGGTTGTAGGCTGTTGTCCCTATTAGGTCACAGAGACCTCTGGCTCAGACGAAGAAACTTAGGGCACTAGGAGCAAGACGTTTGGCTTGACTGCAAGATTAAAATTGAGTCTCTCCAAGCTTCACGGAGGTGGTCGAGGCCCTTTGATTAGCCACATAGCGAGAGACAAGGACTCTCAACACCACACAGCAACTTTTCCAGGCAGCAAACGGGAGAGGCAGCGTCTCGCGTGCCTCAATTCTTTCATGCCTCTAAAAGCCACAGGAGCACCTTGTTCCTTCTCATCAGCCCCATCCTGCAGGTGCTCCCATCACTGTGGATCCCCGGAAACTGAGATATCCGGAACCGCAGCAGTAGTGCCCATTTTCCTCTTCAGGAACTCATTGGTAGCTCTAGGCATTGCCATTCCATCCGGCCTACTGAAAGTCCGGAACTAAACTATAGCAACAGGCGCAGGGCACCACTGTTCGGTCCCGGAGAGGTTGGGCGCGGACGGCAGCGGCTTGAGCGTGTGCGCTGGCTGCCGGCGGTTTACGACCCCTGTCTCGTGTGGGACTTTTGCCGCTTCCTGACCGCTCTGGCTGCTGTTTGCCATCTTGGTTTCACCTCGCTACGAATGTTCCTGTCGCGAAGGTATTAGTTCCTCCTCAGAGTTAACAGGAGCAACAATCGGTGAGGGTGAACTTTAACGCAATTCCCAAGGGAGGGAGGGAGGGGTCGACGGCCACACAGCCTATTCCACCACGGGCTACAGCCTTACACGGCGGGCCGCGGGGGCACCGCCTCTCTGTCAGTTCCTCCTACTGCGACGGCCGACCCGCCTCTTCCGGGTGACGTCAATGCCTGGCGACACTTCCGGGCCCGACTCCTGAAGAGGAAGTCGAGCCTTGGTCCACGCCTCCTACCGTGTGCGTGAGTGGTGGCGTCCTTTCAGAACCTCGCTAGCTACTCTCCGAAACATGGATCACACGTGTGAGGAGAGGCCTGCAGAGGCTGCGAGTGACGAGGAGGACCCTGACTCCACGGAGGCCCCTGCCCGAATCAGGGACACCCCGGAAGACATTGTGCTGGAGGCGCCGGCCAGTGGGCTAGCGTTCCACCCCTCCCGCGACCTGCTGGCGGCAGGAGATGTGGACGGGGACGTGTTCGTGTGAGTGAGCTGCAAGGTCCGGGACACGGTGGGTGCGGGAGCGCCTGGTCTGGAAGCTCCCGAGGGACGGAGCTGAGACCAGGAGGGAGGAACGTTGCAGAGCGACAGATTTTGCTGAACCCCTCTTGTCTGATGCATCCTAAAACATTCGGCTTTGAACATGTTGCTACACAGATCTGTTGGAAGAACCGAAAGGAAGAAAAAATAGCAGGGGTATCGTGACCGAGCCCAGAGACCATAGCAAGAAAAGGAGGCATCTAAGGCCCTTTATTCCCCACCAGATTATTGATCCTGAAACAGGCTCTTCGGGGCGCTTGCGTTGTAGCTTCTGTCCGTTTAATTGATCTTTCAAAAACACAGATCAGACCATGGCCACATTTTACTGCTCCACAGTAAAAACTTTATAGATTACGAGTGAGTTGCTCTGGTCTTTTTATCATGGTGACAAGGGAGGGAGGCGTTCACAGCCTATCCTGGCACTGGCTACAGCCTTAACTGGGACACAGTGGGCCTAGGGGGTGCAAATGATTTACTCTGTTAATTTTTTTTTTTTTTAAATTTTTGACAGGCAGAGTGGACAGAGAGAGAGAGAGACAGAGAGAAAGGTCTTCCTTTGCCGTTGGTTCACCCTCCAATGGCCACCGCGGGCAGCACGCTGCGGCCGGCGCACCACGCTGATCCGAAGGCAGGAGCCAGGTGCTTCTCCTGGTCTCCCATGGGGTGCAGGGCCCAAGCACCTGGGCCATCCTCCACTGCACTCCCGGGCCACAGCAGAGAGCTGGCCTGGAAGAGGGGCAACCAGGACAGAATCTGGCACCCCAAGCGGGACTAGAATCCAGTGTGCCAGCACCGCAAGGCGGAGGATTAGCCTAGTGAGCCACGGCGCCGGCTCTGATAATTTTTAAAAGATTTATTATTTGTCAGGGAAAGTGTAAGGGAGGGGCAGGGGAGGTATTTTCCATCCCCCAATTCACTCCCCAAATGGTAGCAGCCACCTGGTCCAGTATGTAGGAGCCAGGAACTCTTTCCCACTCTGTCCCATGTTGGTGGCAGGAGCACAAGTACTTGGGCCATTCCTATAATGTGCTCCTAGGCACATCATCAGGGAGCTGGATTGGAAGTGGAGCAGCCAGGACCCAAATAGGATGCCAGCCATATATTAACCCTTTGTGCAGCACTGCTGGATTTATCCTGTCCTTATTACGTGTACACAAAATGCCACTTGCAGCAAACGGGTTATGACTGGAATTTGTAAAATCTTTTTGGAATGTAATATGTAGCCCATTATGTTTTCCATTTCATCTGCCTCTAGTCCCTGGTAGGTGCTCAATACATGTTTGATTTTGAGCACAAAATGTAGGCTGGAAGCAGTGAAAGCCATTGAAGGTTTTAAACAGCAGAGTTCTGCTATGTGATTCACTTATTTAAACCTCGTTCCCTTATTACCTAATGGCCACGGGCTAGGTGACTTATGTATTTTCATTTTTAAGATGGGAGTAACTAGCACCTTGTAGAAGGGACCAGGTAGTCAGGCAAGTGTCCAAATGTAGGCCCCCGTCTACCTTTGCCCATATCTACAGTGCCCGACACTGAGGAGTCACCCAGACCTCCACCTTTCTGCACATCCCTATAACTTTGGTTTATCAAGTTCTGTTTCTGCTTCAGAAAAAGTTTTAGACAGGGCTGGCACTGTGGCACAGTGGGTTAAGCTGCTGTCTGCAGTGCTAGCTTCCCATACGTGCATCAGTTCAAGTCCAGGCTGTTCCACTTCCAATCCAGTTCCTTGCTAATGTGCCTGGTAGAGCAGCAAATGATGGCTGAAGTGCTTGGGTCCTTGCACTCTCGTGGGAGACCTGCAAGAGGCTCCTGGTTTCAGCCTGGCCCAACCCTGGTGGTTGCAACCATTTGGGGAGTGAACCAGCAGAATGATCTGTCTGTCCCTTTCTCTTTCAGATAAATCTTTTATTAGAAACACTGAGCAAATGTACCTTGAATTAATGTACAGGTACTCCTGTGACTTAGAATGGGGTTACTTTCAGATAAACTCATTGCAAGCTGAAAATATCCTAAGTAACTCATTGATTGCATTTGAGCTAACAAACATCCTAGCTAGCGACCCAGTACACCAGCCAGTATCAGCTGTGCAGCATCACAAGAGCATCTTACTGCATACTGCTAGGGTGGGAACAGACCAGGATTCCAAAGACACTTTCTTTTTATTATTTTATTTTTGACAGGCAGAGTTAGACAGTGAGAGAGAAAGGTCTTCCTTTTTCCGTTGGTTCACCCTCCAAGTGGCTGCTGCTGCTGGTGCGCTGCGCTGATCCGAAGCCAGGAGCCAGGAGCCAGGTGTTTCTCCTGCTCTCCCATGGGGTGCAGGGCCCAAGCACCTGGGCCATCCTCCACTGCACTCCCTGGCCACAGCAGAGAGCTGGCCTGGAAGAGGGGCAACCGGGACAGAATCCGGCGCCCCGACCGGGACTAGAACCTGGTGTGCCGGTGCCGCAAGGCGGAGGATTAGCCTAGTGATCTGTGGCGCTGGCCCCAAAGACAGTTTCTAATGAATGTGTACTTTGACATCAGAGTTGAAAAAGCCCAAGTAGTCTGCATATTGAAAGAAAACAAGACCTAATAATTTAAACTCGCTGGAAATGGGAAAATGGGATGATAAGCTTATAGGGGCCTGGAGATGTGTAAACAGGATCTCCTGAGTAGGTGGGCGGGGGTTTTATGGGTTTGGTCTCTGTACTCCATGCATCACCCTCCTCCTACTGTCCCCCAGGTTCTCCTACTCTTGCCAAGAGGGAGAAACCAAGGAGCTCTGGTCCTCAGGTCACCACCTCAAGGCCTGCCGTGCAGTGGTGTTCTCTGAAGACGGGCAGAGTGAGTAGAGGCAGGCAGCAGCTGGCAGCGTGGCCATGGGAAGGGAGCACTGACCAGCACTGTGACCTGTCCTTTCTCCCCCAGAACTTGTTACTGTCTCCAAGGACAAAGCCATCCACTTTCTGGATGTGGAGCAGGGTCGGCTGGAAAAACGCATTTCCAAAGCTCATGGGTAAGGGAGCCTTTTGTGTGTATGAAGCTGGGGGTTGGGGGGGGGAGGTAAGGACTGGGCAGTTCCTGCTGGGACAGAAATCCTCCAGGTGCTGCATTTGTGTGTCCAGGGCTCCTATCAACAGTCTGCTGCTGGTGGATGAGAATGTTCTGGCCACTGGGGATGACACAGGTGGGATCCGGCTTTGGGACCAGCGGAAGGAGGGCCCCTTAATGGACATGCGGCAGCATGAGGAGTACATCGCCGACATGGCTCTGGACCCAGCCAAGAAGCTGCTGCTGACAGCCAGGTCCAACCCACCCCCCCTTTTTTTTTTTTAAGGGAAAGGGGTTTATTGGGGAAAACCCAGCAGACTGGAGGGGAGGGACGAAGAAGGATGAGAGAGAGAACAGTAAGAGCGAGCCGAGAGAGGAGAGAAGCCAAGAGAGCCAGGTGTTCAGGAAAAGGCCCTTTTAAAACTTTGCCTGAGGGCGGGCAGGGAAGCTGGAGCAGGAATCCCATTAGATGGGGGTGGAGCTTGACAACAGTGGTTGGTTGGTTTTTTTTTTTTAAAGCTTTCCTTAGAGCTTCTGGCTAAGCCTGCTGCTTTGTTCTCTGCAGTGGGGATGGCTGCCTTGGTGTCTTCAACATCAAGCGACGCAGGTTCGAGCTGCTCTCAGAGCCTCAATCTGGGGACTTGACCTCTGTCACCCTCATGAAAGTACAGCTGAGTATGATGGGATCCTGGTGTGTGTAAACTAGGGGCTCGGTCTGAGCTGGTGCCACAGACATGATCTGCCCTGTTTCCCTGCAGTTTGGGAAGAAGGTGGCCTGTGGCTCCAGTGAAGGTACCATCTACCTCTTCAACTGGAATGGCTTTGGGGCCACCAGTGACCGCTTTGCCCTGAGAGCGGAGTCCATCGACTGCATGGTTCCGGTCACTGAGAGTCTGCTGTGCGCTGGCTCCACCGATGGCATCATCAGGTGAGGGAAGCCAGGACAGCCCTCAGGCTGTATGGGAAGGGCAAGCCCCGCTAGCCTGTACCCAACACTGTTCTTTCCCGGCAGGGCTGTCAACATCCTGCCAAACCGAGTGGTGGGCAGCGTGGGCCAGCATGCCGGGGAGCCCGTGGAGAAGCTAGCCCTCTCCCACTGTGGCCGTTTCCTGGCCAGCAGCGGCCATGACCAGCGCCTCAAGTTTTGGGACATGGCCCAGCTTCGAGCTGTGGTGGTGGATGACTACCGGCGGCGCAAGAAAAAGGGCGGGCCCCTGCGAGCCCTGAGCAGCAAGGCCTGGAGTACTGATGATTTCTTTGCAGGGCTGAGGGAAGAGGAAGAGGGTGCCAAGGCTCAGGAGGAAGGGGAGGAGACGGAGGATGACAGTGACTGAGGGGCGAGTGGACTCTCAGGACAGGTCCTCGCTGGGCACGTCTTTGTTTCCTGGAGTGGATCCTAAGGGAGGACTGGAACCTGTAATACCCTGTTGTGCAGGTTCAGATGCACAGCAGGCCCAGGACTCAGGGCACTGATGGGACGAAGTACTTGCCCTGTGGCAGCTGTTCTCTAGGCCAGTGTAAAGACAAACCCTACGCTGGGGGCCAGAGAGCACAGACACATGTATATACTAACCAGGGGTTTAATATAAATACAACCAGCATAGAAAACGTCGAAACGATACATAAACCAAAACCATAGTGCCAAGTGCTAGGGACGAAGGGCAGAATTTCTGACCCTTTGGCTCAGCCGGTCCCCCCAAATAAAAAAACCAAAGTCAAAAAAATCTAACAGATTCATGTGCAGAGGGTGGGAAGGAATAGCAGGGGAGGGCAGGGTGGGTATGTCACAAAGGGAAGACCATGGGTTAGGTGGAGACTCAAAGGGGAGAGGACAAGGCCCACCAGCGTAACTCAAGCCAAACCTGAGCTGCCCCAGACACGCTGGGGCTATGTCCCAACAGGGAAGCTATCAGGCCGAGGTGCCTTCCCCCTTTTTTAATCAGCTGGTCGGCTGCCCAGGCCTGCTGGGCTGGGGACCGACACAGGCTCTGCCAACCGTTGTAGGCTGCCTCTGTTGAGAGGACGGGGGTCACTGCTTAACTATGGTACCTGCCTCAGCCCCAGCAGACCACAAGAGGCTGGCCCCAGGCTCACCCAGGGCTTCCAGCAGCCGTGCAGACACGGCATCCTTGGCTATCTCATGCCCATCCTGCCCATCTGTGGCAAGCACAACCCAGATGAGGCCACTGAAGGGCACTGGATGCCCAGGGATCACCACCTGGTACCAGAAGCGGTGCCAGCCAGCAGGGCCCGTGCCCAAACACTTGGTGAGGAATACTGGGCTGCCCAGTTTCATTCGTTGGCACAGCAGCTGCAGGGCAGCCCGCGCTCCTTGGGACCCTAGCTTGTCCCTGGCCAGGGCCAATCGGTTGCCCTCAGGCTGAAGGTACCGTAGTGAGGGACCCACAAGCTGCTGGCGCAGTCGCTGCCTCAGGTCTGGCTTTAGCCACTCCACAGCCACCTGCTCTCCGCAGAGGCGGGACTGCCCTGCAGGAAAAAAGACAAGAGACAAAGCAGCTCTAAGCCCTGGGCCCACCCAGTCCTGACCCTGGGAGCCCCAAGGAATTACACAGGTGAGTGTTTACTTAACAGCATGTGCATTTCCTGGTATGACCTCTAAAGGGGGGTGAAGTTGCTCCTTGCTATAACCATCACAATGACTTATCTTTACTGTGATATGCTTGCTGAAAATCAGGCAAGCTCCCAAATACCACATGCACATAGTTAATTCTCAAAACAGGAAAAGTTTCTAGTTTCTTTGAAATGCTGAAGATTAAAAGTGTTAATGCACCTACAGTGGCCCTATTGGAAATAACTTGACATCAAACACAACGTAAGGTCATAAACCCAGGCACGCTTAACTCCAAATTTTGTGACTTCAACTGCTGTGTAAAGTGACTAGCAGAATGTGTCAGGCCCCCACCACGCCCCCGCCCCCGCGCCTCCAGCCCTACCTTCCACCAGGGCCTTTTTGGCCATAGCAGCAGCGCGGTGCGAGCTGAACTTGAGCAGCGCGATCTGCGTGAGCGCCGGCCCGGGGCTGGGCAGCAGCAGCGCCTCTTGCAGGCCGGGGCCCAGCGGCTGCAGCGCGAGCAGCAGCGCGTGGTGGCTCAGACCCGGCGGCAAGCCCTCCACGCTCAGCTCGCACTTCTCCGTGCTGCGGCACACCAGCAGCGGGCAGGAGGGCCGCAGCGGGTGGTTGTGCAGCGTGGCGATGGCGGCCTGTGCGCCGCGCCGTGAGCTGTAGCGGGCGTAGGCGAACCCGCGGTTCAGGCCGCTGAAGGTCATCATTAGGCGGAATTCGTAGAGGCGGCCCACGCGCTGGAACAGTGGGATCAGCTGGTGCTCGTACACGTCCTGGGGCAGCCGCCCTATAAACACCTCGGACCCGGCCGGCGGTGGGCTGCCCACCCAACCTGGGGGAGGGGGTGTGGAGGGAGCTCTGTCATCCACCGGACCGTCCCGAGTTCGCACCCGCGACCGTCAGTCCAGTGGTACAGTGCCCGTATCCCGGTCCCTGGCACAATTACGTGACTGGACTAACAGGGCTGGCGGAAAGTAGGTGCAAGTTATGTCTGGTTCCTTTACTCGACGGGGCGGGTGGGCGGGGAGGCAAAGTCCAGTGTCCTCATGTGCTGGGGGAGGGGGTATAAACTCGGGCAGTTTGGGGTTTTTGTGATGCCTGGGGCAGGCCCCTCCCCCAAAGGCTGGTCGGGCGCCATCGAGGCTGCGGCTACTGTACCTGGGGGTGGCCCGCCATACTTCCTCTGCCCGTTCACCTGCACCAGCCGGATGCCCGTCTCCCTGACCCACGCCTCCAGGGCCGCCTTGTTCTCTGGATTCACCCTCTCACACCATTGCTGAGGGAAAAGGCAGGTTGGAAAGGCCGAGCGCAGAGCTCGCCCCCACCTCGCCTGCGCCGTTGGCGTCCCGGCGGCCACCCCCCGCTGAGCAGGCGGAGCTCCTCTGCGCCCATGCTCGCCAACCACTTACCTCACACTCGCGCTTGGACTGCATGGCTCTCCCTCCTTTGCCCTCCCGCACCCTATTTATAACCTCCTCTGCGACGGCCTCTGGAAGCTTCTCTACTCTTCCACCCCCCACGTTCTCATTGGCTCTGCGCACGACCCCGCCTCTCAAGGGTGGAAGTATCCACTGCACGTGCGCCGCCGCGGGCCCTCGGGGAGCCGCAGGTGAAAGCCAGAAACTCTGGCGGTGGAGTGCGCGGGCAGCCCTGCCTTCCAGGCGCTGGGCGCTCGACCCTCAGGGCACCCTTCGCCCCACGGACCAGGCGGTGGGCTGCGTTTTCCGCTGAAGTGGCCTGAATGGGTGGCTCAGGCTCTGCAGCTAGACGTCAGAGATGCAGGCAAGCTCCAGTGGTTGAGGCAATTTTATTGGACCTTTGGCGACTGGCACTGGGGCCGAATCTGCTTTATCTGCAGTGGGGCCCCGCAGAGGGCACCTCAGACCCAGGGCCTGTAGCCCAGGGGTGCATGCTGCACTCATCGGCTGCGGCCCTCTAGAGAAAGCGATGGAGTTCTTGCCCATTTTTGCCAGTGACTACCGGTAAAATCATCATAATACAAGTCTCTGTTTAGTCACTTTCAGGTCTTCCTGCAGGGCCAGGAACGTCCAGAGCTGTTTTGGTGCACCTCTGATGGTGCCAGTTGCACTTCCTTTCCTGACAGGCGGCTGGCTTCAGCAGATGCAGTGGGGCTGGTCTGTTCTCCTTTTGATTTCCTCTACCAGGTCTTCCCTTCGGACGTCCACCTGGCCAGGAAGGGGGAACAGGGTGGAATGAACATCTTCCATCGCACTGCGCCCAGAGCGCCTGATTCTTCCAACAGTCAGCAGCTCTGACTCAGCTGGAAGCAGGAACCCAACCCAATACTTTAGGCAGACAGGCATGGGGTGTATGTGCTGATGGGGGTTTACCTTGCGACAACCACAGCAAGAGGTTAGGCATGCCCTTAGGTCTTTTACAAGTTGGGACAGCGTGAATGGCAGACCTTTGTTCAGGTCTTGAATAGACATAGGCCTGCCGACACGGCATACACTCCCTAGTGCTATCGCCTTTCCTCGTGCCCCCTTACCTCTTCCCTGCTAGCCACTGAACGGAGCTTGATGACCCCGTCCTTGAGCTCCTGCTCGCCGATGATGGCCACCAGCGGGATGCCTGCCTCCTCACAGTACTGCAACTGGTTCAGGAGCTTTGGGTTCTTCTTGTAGAGTAGTTCGGCCTGTGGGGGACCAGGGTGGAAGATGAAGGCTGGCTTCTGCTGTCCTCAGATAACCTCCCGGGGGCCCAAGCTTCATTCCACGATGTAATGCCAGGAGCCACTAGAGGGTGAGCTTTTATGTAGTTGGTGTCCAGCCCTCCCAGGTACGCTGTAGCCCTGGGGTTTGCCTCCCGTACCTTGATCCCAGCATCCCACAGCTCAGAGACAAGCTTCAGTCTCTCCTCCAGGAGCTTCTTCTGTGCAGAAGCCACAAGGACCTGTGTCTCTGTGGTTCGTACCTTCTCCTCTAAAGCCTGGGGAAGGGGCAGATGAGAGGGAGCTGGGCTAGCCTCTTCAAGGAGCAAACACAGCAGCCTCTAGTTAGTGCGTCCCCGCAGGGAAGGGGCCCAGTGTCTCAGCTAGCAAGTGGGTATAAGACAGGAGGGAGGAAAAAAGGAAATGAACTGATTTGTAGTTACCATTTGCCAGAATAACCTTAGGCAAGGACAAAGGTACCTTATTTACAGTAACTTTAAGTTCATCTCCACCTAGGACTTTTATGGTCCACAAGAACATGCACAAAGTACCGAGCCTCTCATCATTCAATTACAGGGAAGAACTCAGAATGTGTGAGGATGAGGGGTAATGGACAATGCTGTTGTTGTCCTTTGACTTTTTCTAGAAAACTATTTTTTAATTTTTTTTTTTATTTGAAAGAGAGTGCAAATGCGAGTGAGCTTTAATCCGCTGGTTCACTCCTAAAATGGCCACAATGGCTGTGATTGGGCCTGGCTGAAGCCAGGAGCCAGGAGTTTCTTCGTGTGGGGTGCAGGGGCCCAAGCACTTGGGCCATCTTCTGCTGCTTTCCCAGGTGCATTAGCAGAGAGCTGATTTGGAAGTGGAGTAGCTGGTTCCTGATCTGGTGCCCATTACCTGTTAGGCCACAACACAGTGGAACGCCTGGCTGTTTGGCCTGGCCCAATCCTGACTATTGCAGCCATCTGGGAGTGAACCAGTGGATGGATGACCTCTCTCTCTAACTCTGGCTTTCAAATAAATAAATTAGTCTTATTAAAAAAAAAAAGGGGATAGGAACAGTGGGAAAGTTGTCAGAGCATTCCCCAAAGGATGAAATGCACTGAGCTATTTAAGAGCAGCAGCAAAGGTCTCAGACTACGACGAGCTCCCCTGGTGCTATTCTAGATACTATAGAGTCCATGCAGTCATCTGAGGGATCCCAGGTCTTCAGACACATGCTTCCCTCTCGGAGACAGTACTACAGCGCACTGAGACCCTCGAGTTAACTGCCTGCATTTCAAGTCTGACACTGCCGCTTGTTTAGCTCCCTGCTAATGTGCCTGGGAAGGCAGTGAAAAATAGTCAACATACTTGGGTCCCTACCACCCATGTGGGAGACCAGGATTGTGTTCTTGGCTTTGGGCTGGCCCAAACTTGGCTGCTGCAGTCATTTGGAGTGAAAACAGAGGATGGAAGATCTGTCTCTGCCTCTCTCTTCTCACTCTGCCTTTCAAAGTAGTAAATGCATTTTCAAATTCTGACCCACTTAGAAGTTTTAAGACCTTCAGCAAATTAATTCACCTATAATGCAAATAATACAAGAGGACTCTAATAATTATGTTAGATAACGCATGAAAAGTACCAAGTACAGTGCTTGGCCCATGGCAGCAAAATGGTAAGTATTCCATGTCAGGAGGAAGCTCTGGATCGTTGATAAATCAACCATGATTCCTGATAGCCCTGAGGGAAGCAGGGACCCAGAGTACAGTATTCAGTGGAGGAAGGGAGAGCAGAGATCCACAAAACTGGCCTGTAATGGGTGGGAATCTGTGAAGCGTAGCAATGCTCTTTCCATTTTTCTGAGATAGGCTCTTTGCCCAAACAGCACCACTTTCTCCCTTGGAGATCAAAGATAGCTCAGATGCTATCACACGCCCAGACTCTCTTCTTCTTACCGCCTTGACCTACCTCAAGTCTCTGCTCCACGATGGAGAAGATCCGTTCCACCCCAATGCTGAGCCCCACACATGGAACCTTGCGCCCTCTGGGGTCGAACATGCCCACCAGCCCATCATAGCGCCCTCCAGCGGCCACACTGCCCACGCCCAAGGGCTCGTCCCCTGCTTGAGCTGGGGTCTGCAGCAGCACTGCCTCATAGATCACTCCAGTATAGTAGTCTAGCCCTCGAGCGAGACTTAGGTCAAACGAGATCTGTGGAAACAAGGATGTGGTCAGTACCATATTAGGGTCGGGGACCTGAAATCCCATTCCAGGGACCTCCCATGCCCAGCTTGACTCACTTTGTCATTAACACCAAACAAGGTCAGATACTCAAACAGCAACTTCAGGTCTGCCAGGCCCTCCATGGCCTGTTTGTTTTGAGACAACTTAGGATCCTGGAGCAGCTGCTCTACTAGAGACACTCCACCTGGGGAGACAGATTTGTTTGCCAGATTGACACAGAGAAGAAAAGGGTCGGACTGTAACTGTATGTACATACGTATGTGTGAACACACACTCTTCCCCCTACACACACCCTCATACAACTTCAGGGAGCTTGGGGACAGGGAATGGCAGCTGGGGAGGCTGCTTCCGTTCCTCACCATGCTGCTGCACATAGTCACCAATGCGGTCAGCCACCTCGGGTGCAAGGCCCTTCTCTCCCACCATCTCATTCTTCACTTCCTCCCAGGATACCTGGACACACAGACACCAGTTGGGAACCTGTGGCAGCTTCTCTCCCAAAAAACAAGCATAGACCCTCTTTGGAGAACAGTCTAGAAGCAGAAGCTACCCTTTGACCTACATCCTGTGGCTACTCTTCCTTTGGTGGGCATGGAGGTAGGCACCCCTCTCTCCTAATCTCATTTTCCGTTTCTTAAGGCAGGGTGAGATCTAGGAAAAGAGTCAAGTGTTTGGGTCGTCACCTTGTCCAGCTTGTCTACTGAGGAGCAGATAGTCCGGAACTTGCTATCAGGAACACCACAGATGGCAAACATTCCATCTAGGATGCGCCGATCATTAACCTGCGGGGACCCAAGGCATAGTTAGTGAAGGACTCTTTCAGTTACATGATCCTCAATAGCCCTGGTCACTTGGGGCTACTGATCCCTCTGCTCATTCTCCTGTGCAAGGCCAGGCCCACCTTTGCCCTCCCAGCCCCATCCAGCTCTGACCTTGACGAGGAAGTCGCCTATCTGCAGCGAACTCAGGATCTCACACATGATCTTCAGGCACTCTGCATCAGGGATCATGGGGTCAAACTGCCCAGCAATGTCAAAATCCTGCAGCAAGAGGAATAGCCAGAGATTCTCACGGTTCAGCCCCCTGAAGCGGCCTTCTGGGAGCTCTGTACTCTCTCCATGAAGGCCTATTTGCATGCAAGCACAGACTTTGTCCTGCATTCTCTATGACTGATCAGCGTAGAGGAGCCCCAGCATTCTTGGGCTTTTCACCAGTCCTGGTTTCCTTTCCATCGACTACACTGTCCCTCCATTGTTTATTTCTTCATCATCTTAATTCCTCCTCCTGCTGTGGGGCAATTATTTGGTCTTAATCCTTAATCCTTGTTTTCTATGCTCATCTAGAAGCTTGCTATCAGTCTTGGTGATTTCATATCTGAAGTATGATTTCCTCATCCTCTGTTGCTATCCCATCACTGTGAATTAATAGAAAAGATACCAGCCGTAGAGTTCTCCTGCTGACTTTGATTTTCTTATCCCTATGATACCTTCATCTGCTGAGTATTAAATTTATACATGTAAAATAAAGATACTAATGTCTCCTGCCCTCCCCTCAAGGCCATTGTGAAATCTACATGAAAACACAATAGAAATCTTGAACATTATCTGGGACAACCAGTTGCTCTGGACACCACGAGTATTCAATAGATTCTTGTGGCTTGAGGGAGGGCCCGAGTTACCCATCCTGTCCTACCACTTCCCGGTACTCACACACTGGTAGAATTCCCGATATCGGCCACGGGTCATGGCTGGGTTATC